TGTAATGTTTTAATTTTTATAAACATGGCCTCATAAACTAGTTTTGTAATTTGCAAAGAAATCCAGTTTAATAACAGAGGTGTGAGAGGTTGTGCCAGGAATCAGAAGAAACACCTGGAATACCACACCCATGTCTTTAGGCAGGATGAAGAGGACTTTCAGGGGCCCAGAAAACAGAGGTGATCTTCTATAGCTGTTCCATGTTTAATGCATGGAAGAATAGCCTTAAGTACAGTGTACCAGAAACTAAACAACATAGGCCCAGAACTTTAAGAATAGCTGGAAGATTGCCTCTTAATCCCCTGAGAAAGAAATTGAGACCTCTGTGGATTGTGAAAAGTTGGAAAGTGTGTTCACTGGTTATATCATCTTCTCCAGGTGTGTGCACTCTCATTATGTATTTTAAAATATTTTGCATTTGATTAAACTTATTTCCTATTGTTTCATTCATGGTGTTGTCACTGTATATCAAGATTATTAACCAAACTCCCATTCAAACATGTGTTGGCATTAATGCAGCAAAGCCTCATTTGCTCTAAGAGGCAAGAGGGGTAAAAGGTAAACATGACATGAATTAATGAGTTTTAGTAATTTCTGAGAGATTAATTATCTAAGATAGCCTTCTAGCTCAAGTCTGCCTCTTCAAACTGATATCAGGAAGTAGTTCAGTGGTAGAATGCTTGTCTGGTATATAAAGACCCTGGGTTCAGTCCCCAGCACAGGGAGAGAGAGGGAGAGAGAGAAAGAGAGAGAGAGAGAGAGAGAGAGAGAGAGAGAGAGAGAGAGAGCTCATGCTGTCCTTCAGAAAACTCTATGTAGGCTCTAAGTTAGAAATACCTAATTCATAAACACATATCAACACTTTCCCAGTAAATCTCTCTGACTGCAACTCATATTCAATCTTTTCATTTCTCTGATCTTCTTCCAAAGTGATTCATTGATATCATCACCTATCAGTAGAAAATAAACTGACAAATTATAAAGAAAATTCTATAAGGCTGGGGAGATGGCTCAGTGATAAAATATCATGTAAACATGAAGACTTGAGTTCATATCCCCAGACCCGATATATGATGGTTATTTATAATTGATCTCACAATCTAGAGACAATATAGAGACATCTAGGAGATAAGCCTTGGTGCATGCCTGTGAGGATTGTCTTGATTAAGTTAACTAAGGAGGGAAGACTTACCCTATAAGTAGGCAGCATCCTTCCCTGGGCTTGGGTCGTGGACTGCATAAAAAGGAAAAAGCTGGCTGAGCATCAGCATTCATTGCTCTCTGCTTTCTGCTGTGAATACAATGTGAGCAGCTGCCTCAAGCTCCTGCACCAAGATGTCCCAGCCATGATGGACCATACATTTGAATTATGAGCCAAAATAAACCCTTTCTCCCTTAAGTTGCTTTTGTCAGGATACATTACCATAACAACAGGAAAAGTAACTAAGACACAATATAAAACTACAACCTCACTTGTGGATCCTAGCACCAAATTCTTATATATGTGAAAATATCCTGATATAACTGCAGAAACCAGGAAAATGGAAAGGAACCAGGGAGGTCAAAGGAAAGAAGGAACCCAAGAGAGAAGAACAATAGGAGACAGGTGTTACTAAGGGGGAAATGGATAAAATGGGATATTTAAATGGGGGGGTGAAGGAGGGTCATACAAGGAACTGTGGGGGTAAAGAGGAAGAAGGAGCTCAAGAGAGGGGAGACCATCAGAGACAGGTATTATTAAGGGTTAAATGGGGGAAATTGGGGAAGGAAGAAGGAAAGTTAGACAGGGAGAGAGAGAAGAGATAAATAATGCCTAGCTATTGTAAAAGACCAGAGGAAATCATATTAATCCAAAAAAACCACCAAAAGATTACACATACAATATCTCTACATGAGTCCATGTGTATAGCTGAAGGCTACATAACAAGAAACAGTGCCAGCCAGGAGAAACCTCCCTTCGAGTTATTGGCCAGGATAGCTCAAGAGACTCCAAAAATTACACAGGCTATTGACCCAGTCCTTGGTTACCTCCAAGAACTTGAAGTTAAGACCCTGTTGCTGAAGACAAGACTTACTTTGGACACAGGACTTGGAGCAATGGAGCTGGAACTGGCCTGGAAGACACCCCCTTGAAGGCTAGCTCTCATAGTTTTAGAGAGCACTATGCAAGCTGCTAAGAGAGAACATCAATCAAAGGTCCAACCCCAGATTTAAGGCCTAATAACCACAACTATGACTGCCACAGCAAACTACATTGGGGCAGTAGTGGCACTTTTATCTTGGGGGTAATCAACAGCTACCTGATTAGACCTAAGCCCACTCAATGGAAGGGAACTCATGTGTGGTACTGTAAACATAACCAAATATACATGGCTGGAGAGGTCATAGATCTTAGAGGAAAACCCCCAAGGTTGTCATATCCCTAGGCAAATATAATTTCTTAATATGTGCTAAATATGGATCCTTATATTTACAGACAAGTATTCCAGTCACTATTCATCAAAGAAACTTCTTTCGCAACAGATGGAGACTATTACAGAGTCCTACAACTGGTCATACACAAAAATTAAGTGTCTGTGAAATGCCCAACCCTAAGTGACACATCTACAATGGAACCTCTACACTTAAGACTCAGGGAACATAGTGGAACATGGGATAGAAAGAATACTAACACATCTCTCAACTCTCATCAATGAAGCTCTCTTATGTAACAGAGGGCAATGAACCCAGGGCTCAGGGACCATTGCGGAAGAGGGGGGCAGAAAGATTCCAAGAGCCAGGGAAGGAAATGCATGATATGGAAATAGAAACTTACAGGCTCCTGGGACCTTGCTCTTATGAACTTACAGCAATGGTGAACACATGCACCAGACCCATGCAAACTCAGGAGACAAAAGTCCAACACAGAACTATGAAAATGGGTAGCAGGCCCCAATCTTAGCCAAAGTCTATTGGCAGCAGATTATTCCTGGGTGAGGAAGACTTGACCATCTTTAAGGGAGTGTCTCTAGATAGGCTGACTAGATCCTTGTGGATGAAATCACACTGAGGGACATCTCAGGATACTAACTTGACTTGATAGGCCTTAATATAAATGACAGAATGCATGAAATCCAATGGGAGGGGATGCTATTGTTGGGTGCCAATGGAAAAGGGTGTATAAAGATGATTAAGATGTAGATGAAACACACAAAAATTCAGTAAAAAATGAACTACAAAAGGTTTTACAAGTCTAATTCCAATGTTCCTGTAGGAAGATGGGAGACAGAGACAGAAACATTCCCAGAAGCTCAAGGGCCTCTATCCTGGAGAACACTATAGTAAACAAGAGACTCTGTTGCAAAACAAGATGGAAGGCAAGCACTGACACAGAAGGGAGTCTTCTGACCTCCACATAAGTACCATGATGCACAGGACACATGGAGAAAGACAGAGAGAGATAGAGAGACAGAGAGAAGACAGAGAGACAGAGAGGGACAGAGAGAGAGACAGAGACAGAGAGACAGAGAGACAGAGAGATTTTTAAAAAATCAAGAAAAAAGAAAAGGAAAATCCTCAGGCATCTTCTTGGATAGTTGTGCCCAGCTGGGTTTTTGTCTAAATTCACAACCTGAAGCCTTCCTGTTTATATACCAAATTATGGCTCCCAGCTTCAGAAAAATACTAGCGGTCATATTCAGAAAGAATAAGCTTTTTGTTTGCTCAAACAAATGGGGTATTTGAGGTCATGTGGATTTTCCCTGCTAAAGAAAAAGCTCTCCTTGGATTTTCGTTACTGATCATTCCATCAGCATAGCTTATTGGTTTACAAAAGAAAGTGATATTTTGTTTCTTTTCCTATGTCTCCTCCCGTCTCTGTTCTTTGATAAGCAATCAACTAATAATAAACACATTTATGAAGCCACTCCTGAGAATTTATAGACTAAGATAAAGTGACTATTTTGTTATAAAAATGGCAAAGTTGGGTTTGAGCTATCATTTTCTGAGTTAAGTAATCCCAGGGGTGGTGGGTTCTTTATATCCTATACTCTCAGAAGAGGAACCAATTGCCAGGTTGAATTATCTATCTTTAAAATAAAAAGTTCTCCTGGCTGTAAAATAGCTCCAGATTGCTTCCTCTGCACTCTGGAGGAGCTGACAGGGCCCCAGATGGAGCTGTTTCTCAGCAAGCTGTCAGGTGATCCATCCATCAGAAAAACCATAGCACCCAGCTGAGCTGCCATTCTCTGCCAAGATTTGTATTGGGTCAGGTGGGAAAGGCCAGGGTCTGATGAATCCAGGAAAAACAAAGGTCAGGGGAATATGAGCCAGAAAGGAAAGCTATGTGTTCACATTTCAATTCTGAAGGTTTTAATTTGGCATTGTTTTAGAATGACTTGACAGTTCCCCCTCTGCTTTCTTTCCTATGGATTTCAGGTCATTGATACTGAGAGGTTGTTTACTTTGGTTTTGAGAAAACTAAAGCAGAGAGCTGTATCAGAGCAAAGCTGCTTAAAACATACTAAATTATTGTGAGCAAGCCAAGAATCTTTTCATTCATAGACCTAGGGAAGATGTAATGAGATCATCTGAAAAAGCAAAGCTAAAGTCGTTGGAAGTGAGCACTAGGCCCCCCCCAAAATGATTTGGGGGGTTGATGCCTTCCACATTAGCATTACCTCATCTTAGAAACTGCTATTCTAAAAGGTAAAACCATGAGATAATGTGAGTTTATAATCTCCAAACCCTGATGAAAGAGACCTGAAACAATCAAATAACACCAAGAACTGGATTCAGCACTTATTAATCAATGAGAGGCTGTACTGCGTTTATTAAATGCAGAGGCAATTTAATACAAGGCTAAGAAAAAGAGAAGACTAGCAGGCAGGTCTGTCACCTGCGTGCCTGTAATACTCTTGGTGGTACCTTGAGTAAATCTTCTTTTTTCCTTACGGAAAAAAAAAAAAAAAAGATGGCTAATGTCTTTAAGTGGTAAATATAACTTTTTCCCTTTTTTATAGTGATAAGTTGATAAGACTCATCCCCAGATCCAAAGAGCAAGCGAATGCGCTGAAGAAAATATACCACCAACTCCAGGTAACGGCACACACTTGTCCTGTAGCTATGTCCGTGATGTGTTTGCTCTCAGAGCTTCATTGACTAAAGTTGAAGAATCGGAATTAGTCAGAGGAAGTAAGTAAAGAGAGACAACGATAGGGAGCATTTAAAGGACAGTGGAGTTTAGACAACTCCGAAACTGTCTAGAACACCATTGATTTACTAGTTCATTTACGATCCATCTGCCAGATAGAACGTAAGCTTGAGAGAGTTTGTTTGTTCACTGTTGTGCTCCCAGTGAGTGTCTGCAACATCCTAGAAGTGCTAAGCAGTAGACGTTTTACCTGGTGTATGAGTTTTAATTGATAGTTTTCACTCTTTACTTTTGAGTTCTTCCTCTGGATTGCCTACTTTCCTCCTGACTAAAACTTTATTTTATTTTACACATATATATAATTTTTGTGCCTTTTAATACAATATATCATTTTTTGCTTTTTATTTTTTATTCATTTTTTGAGAATTTTTTTTTCTCAAACAGTGCAATCTCAGGCAGACAATAACCTAGCATAGAACTGGGAAAATAAACAGCAGACCTAAATCTTATCTGAAGGAATGTTGGCAACTGATTGCTGCTAAATGAAGAAGACCTGATCGTCCTAAAACAAGGGACTCTAGATAGGCTGACTAGACTTAATGGACAGACTTGCACTGGGGAACATCTGGGGACACTGACAACCGAATGGGCCTTGACAGGGATGACTGATTAAAACTTTTAAGTAGAAGTGAGTTGATGAAGATGAGACTATAAATTCACACTCATCCACATTGCTGCGTTCGGTGGACCTCGTGAGAGAGTCCTCTTAACAGAGACTGAAAGCTCTAGTTATTCAGTCTCTGGTGGGTTGTATGGAATTTGGAGTGAGAGTCTTGTCTTTTGTCACTGGTTAAAATTATCAGCTTTAAGTAAAAGTTTATGATGAGAAACAGAGGCTAGCCCATGAGACCTGTAGTGGGCTTCAGTTTTAATAGGATGGCAAAGCAGATTGCCAAAAGGGCCATATTAATTTTTAACATGGGATAGTAATGTCTTCCTAAGTGAGGGAAGTATAGCCCATGTGAAGAAGGTGCTAGGGGATGCAGGAGGGAAGATGAACTTGGAGGCTTCTAGATAGATGTTTGTAATTACCAGGCCTTTGGTTTTTCATTTGTGGTTTGATTCTTTTTATGTTTTTGAGGGGAGGGTGTGTTTGAGGCAGGGTCTCTCAGTAGTCTCAGCTGTCTTAGACCTTACTATGTAGACCGGGCTGGTCTCAGTTTCGCTAAGATCTACCTGCCTCTGTCTCCCAAGTACTGGGATTAAAGGCATGTGCCACCATGCCTAGCTGATTTGATTCTTTTATACCCCATCTTTCCTTTAAATAATGCAGTTATTTGCAAATGGAGTTTTGAACTTTGAGATTATTGATTCCTTTTCTTCCCCCTCATTCCTGGGGTCATCATGAGTCTCCAGTTCATACAGTGGTATGGCATGACGTCCTCAAACTGTGGTCATTTTTTACCCAGTCCCAGAAAGACTGCACTTGCTGGACATATCCTAAAGCTCTTCCCCTTGAAGGACCCTGCTCTAAGATGGTGGCATTAACCTGCTTGTGATCATCGACCTCTCAATGTTTTGTTTTTTGTTTATTTATTTTTATCATATATGTATGAAGTGTTTGCCTGCATGTATCCAAGCATATCACATGCATGTAATGCCCATAGATACCAGAAGAGGGCGACGGATCCCCTTGAACTGGAGATACAAACAGTTGTTAACCACTATGTGGATTCTGGGAACTGAACCTGAGTCCTCAGCAAGAGCAGCCAGTGCTCTTAGCCTCTGAGCCATCTCTCTAACCCCTTCTCAATGTTTGTTTGTTTTCAGAAGTATTATCTGAACACTTCCTAAACAGTCCACTGAGGATCTAAACATTGCAAAGAAGCAAAGCAAAATCTAAGTAGAAGTTTCTATCTCTATTGCCATTGATTAACTATAGCACTACAAAAGTGAAATAGCCACTTCCACTGTGGAGACATGTCTCAGGGAACAACTATTCTGAACCAAACATTGGAATAAAGTATTTTCTCCAATTTGTGAATCTATGTCCATGGTAGGCCTTCGAAATCTATGAAATGAAGGCTGCAGATGTAGCCCAGTGCTAGAGCACTTGCCTAGAATGCCCAAGGCCCTGAGTTCAATCTCCAACACTGCAAAAAAAATCCATAAAAATTATATTGCACATTTATACATATGGTAGTCACTTGCCATTTATCAAAAGCAATAAACTACTTCACAGATGGAAGCAAAATACTGAACATCAATAGGCCACTGGCACTGATGTTCACACGTGTATACTGTGCATTTTCATATACACAGTTAAATAAAAATACTCCTACATGCTATTTTCATGTGGTTCTTAAGGAAAATAGTCAGTTTGGGAGATAAGGTTTTGAAGGTGAAGGAGCTTAATAGACAAAAGAAAGGAAAGGGGAGCAAAAAGGAATAGTACCAGGGATTCAGTGATTTGCACAAGGCATCACACAACTCAGCATGAACGCCTGCTCACAGCTGTGAGGTATACGGCAAAAGTATACAGAACAGAATCATCAGAGACGAACAGCACGGGGACGGGTCCAGGGGAACCCTGGCTTCCAAAGGTCCTCCCTGCGGCATCACACAAGCTATCTAATTCCCAGGCAATGGGCTGCGGCAATGCACATACAGTGGTACTGCCAAGGAAATTCACTAGAGACTAAGTAGCCAAGGCTCTTATGGGGACCTGATCCCACAGTCATGCTCTGCCTAGCACATACCAAACTCCCATATTTTAGAAGAAAGTCAGGTATTTGGCACGGACCATATTTGCACAAACAGTATATAGGCACACTGAGTCACTCTTATCAGTTGCGGTGGAAGGAGTGCTCCTAAAATCCTACATCCCAGATGCCAGCCCAGAGAAAGTTGTACAAACAGGCCAGTCTAAAGATAGCATTTCAGACTGCTCTGTTGAGTTTCTTCAGCACATGTTTTCACTACCTTTCACAAGAAAGGCAGTGTTACTTGACTACAGTTTGAGCTTAGACAAGTTTCTGTCTAAAAGCATCCTGTCACCTCAATGTTGTTTTTTTTTTTTAACCACCTTAAAATGAGTGTTTAATTGCTTTGATGATTATAGCAGCAATTCCCAAAATATGCTAGCTCTGTTTACTTTGATTTTTTTCCTTTTTTAAATTATTTATTTAATAACCACATACTTAGAAGAAGCATTTCATTACAACAGCATTGACATATTCAATAACAATTTCCTGGGCTAAGATGTACCTCTTTCAAAATTGGCTGTAAATTTTTAGGCTTACAGTTGAATTATTACAGTTATACAATATTGTACTCAGTATAAACCCTATAAGACATAAAATTAAATGAGGTTTTAACCTTTAAAAAAGATCTCCATTTCATTATTAAAATACATAGTTTCATACAGAAAAATTAATTTTAATGCAATTGACATTAAGATGTTTGTACATGCATTTCTAATCTCTATATAGCTGATTATTACTAGTCACAGTAGGTTACTTTTTGAGCTCCTTGTCATCTAAGCACGGATATAAAGTCATGAGGTAGATTTCAATGGTAATTTTTTTGCATCTACTAATTATTAAGGAGCACATTTTCATGCTTTGAAGAATTATTTTTTAATCATTTTTTGATGTTTAATAAGTACATGCCTACATGATTAGAAGCTTTTCACTACAGCTTTAACTTATTCAGTAACACACTCCAGAACAACAGTACATCTCTTTCACAAGTGGGTGCAAGTTTCTAGGTTCACAGTTGAATTAATATAGTTATATATTATTAAACTCAGTATAAGCCCTGTAAGACATAAAATTAAAAACTCATCCCTCTGGGTTTTTTTAACACTAGCTAGGCATTATTTCTCTCCTCTCTCTCTCACCT